AATTTTGATGTTCATATATACCAGGCTTACTGAAATTGTGCACTCACTCTGCCTGGGGTATCCTGGATTGCAAGAGTAGGGTCAGGCAGGAATCCATGTTTAGGATGCACTAAAAGCTCACAGCAGGAGATGCACAGCCCGTTCCCTCACGGAAGTCGCTTCTAGCAGTATGTGTGCAGGTCTCCAGTTCTTATCCTCATAATTTAAGCTAGTACTTAATGCGCTATTCTAAGAAGAAAATGAACAAGATAATTTCTCTTTTTCAAATACTTCACACTGGAGCACTGCGGAGGGAAGACATGTCACTATCCCCAAGTGACTTCCTTACAGTCTAGGAAGCCTTGTCTGTAAACCAGGACTCATTTCCACACTGACAGGAGAGGCAGTAGCCCTAAGTGACTAGCTCCCTTCTGCTCTACACAAACCAGAGAAACCTGAGCATGTGGCTCAGCAGCAGAGAGACACACATTGGCATTCTTTTGTCTCCTAATAGCGAAGAACTGTTGAGTTGGGTAATTTAAGCTCATTATGCTTGCGCATTTAGCTTCTGCGTGCTCACATGCATAAGCAGTATAAGCGAACAAGTTGGCTAAGCAGCTATTCTTTTTTAGCAAATCTAAAAGATAAAGGACAAATAGAAACACCTTTAATTGGGTAGCAGTTTGTCTCTTAGCATGAGCGTGTTCTGAATGCGAAGCTTATGAGCTGAGGAATGGAAAGTTTTCTAGAAGTTGCTAGCGCCCAGTCAATTAAAAATAAACATGCTATGTGGTGGTTTGCATAGGGCAGAGGCGATGATAGCAGATTATGTAAATAAATACTCAACACTGAAGTCAAATAAGATCCATTTCCATAATATCCAGGACGTTAAACCCGACAAGGCAATCTGAAATTTCTGCTGGGGTCAGGAATTGTCCCTGCTGGCTTTGCTTGGTGTGCATCGTTCATATAATTCACTGTCCTGGTGGAGAGCGGGGTGCCTCCCTTGTTAGGTGTGTATGCCTCTTTGAGTGTGAGTGATTTCCCTGCCGCTGGCTGCCTGACAAGTATGAAATAATTTTAGTGATGAAAAAAAATTAGGCTGTCACATACTTTCCTTTATCCAGAATTGCTTTTGAGTTGCCTGCCCTGAACGCTATTGCCATTAAGCTGGGATCACAGCGGACTGAATTCATCTAGCCAGTGACCACAGTCTCTCAGGGTGGCAAAAATAGCCTTGGTGTTTTGTTTTTTTTTTTTTTTTTGATCAAATCAAAGCCTAATCTTCACATGGAGAGAGCGGCATAAATTTAAACTACAGTTAATGTTCTTTTGGAGATATGAACAATTACTGTTCCTTCAATCATGGGACTCGGCAGTCTCGGGTGACCTACCTGGGGAACGTCAGACTCAATGGCACCTCATCATAAACACTGGTGTTCACTGCCATGGGCAAGTGACTCTGAGAAAGAGTGATGACCATTCTTTATATCATTCCCCCAAGGAAATGGATACCATTACTGCAATATAACACTGAATGTTAAAAGTTTGAAAAAAATGAATGATTTCCTTCCACCGAATGTTTCATTTATCATACATACTTATCTCCCTTAAGCAGGCCTCCTTTTAGAAGCCTAGAGGAATCCGTAATGAAACCCTTTGGGTCAGAAAGGCTGACTTCCAGGAATGGCAGAGGGCAGAGATCAGACAGCGGCTACTATTGTCTGGATCCCCACTAGAAATCACTCTCAGGGCACTTGAGGGAGACTGGCACTGGAAATCTGAGGAGAGTGGACGCCTGGAAGGAAATTGTGAGCCAGTGCTGCAAGGTTGCTAAATCCAGGCAGGATTCCTCTGTGCTGCTGAAGCGTCTCGGCCTCCAGAGCCCCATAGCTGGGAGAACCCCAGGCAGGAGCTGGAAGTGTGAGGTACACAGATGCACACAGTCACCCCAAACCTCCACCTCACTAAGACTCTGAAGCCAGGAAAGGCTGAGATTGAAGCCTGAATTCTGCCAAGTAGCTACATACAAATGTGTGTGTGCATGTGCATGTGTATGTGTGTGTGTAATATTTTAAACATAAAACATATTCTCCTTTAATATGAAGGCAAAATATATTTACATATATAACTTTTATACATATCATATTTACACTGTAGGTATAATATATGTGTTCAGTCTAGATGTCATATCCTCTGCAATGTAACTCATAAGAGCATGCATCCAGATCTTTCTATGTGCTTCCCCAGGGACAGGCTTTTGTTTCAACTGACATTAAGTGCTGTGAACAGGAGGAATTAGGAACCCTGCAGCCACCTCAGAGCAAAGAGGGAGGTCCTGGGCCTGTGAGCACAAAAACAGCAGCTTGGGCTGGTGGCAGCCATAGCCACAGCAGCTATTGCTGCTGCTGACAACTCAGTTGAGTTCAAGATGGCAAAAACAGAAACAAGTATGTACGCACAAAGGAGAGTCCGCAAACCGGGTGATGTACGACACAGGCTCACCATGCTGACTCCACTAGGGGCTACACGGTGGGTTACTTAAGCGTCTGTGGGAAGTAAAGAGTCAGGGTCTTGATGAAGCTCACAGTTGGCCAGCATGATCCCTCCCTGACTCATCAGAGTCTAAATATCAAATATTGGCTTCCCCTGGAGAATGAAGGAGCTGGGTGAAGATGCCAATGAGCCAACTTCTTTTCGAAAGGCTGCCTAAGGAGCAGGCTTGATCTTCCTTGTCTCTGAGTCTGAAGAGGACCGACCATACTCAAGGTACCCTTTACATAAAGCAAAGCAGGTGACTTAGACCAGCACCAAGTGTGGTGAGACTCAGAGAATGTGTCCAGGTGGACGGGTGAACATGGCCAGGTCAGGAAGACCGGTGGACAGTTAGTTAGATCTTTAATATCCTCCAAAGGCCCATGAATTAAAGGCATGGTTCCTGGGGTGCTGTGCTGGGAAGGTGTACAAGTGAAGCACAAATGTCATTGATGGTAAAGAAATTGAAGGATCCACCGACTTCCTTTTCTCTTTGTTCTCTGTCTTGTGATATGAACGGTGCTGATTTACCATGTTCTGTAGTAGGACATGTCACCTTGCTATAGATCCAAAGAAAACAATTGCTAACAGAACACAACCTTGAAAAATGTGATCCAAAATATGCCTTCATGTGTTTATAAGTTCGTTATGTTAAATGTTTTGGTATAGAGATGGAAATCTAAAGAATAATAATAAAAAACCTGTTACTTTGTATAAAGTATTCACCAATATAATTAAATAAAGAAACAATAAAGAATGAAGAAAATAAGGAAATAAGTTCAAAGCCTGGAACAAGATTAAACACATACTCTAATGAAATGAAGTTGATGGCTTACCTGTAAATGTCTGTGAAATATTCACTGTATTACAGTGTTCACCGAGGTCAGAGAAGTAACACATGTACAAGTCAAATTTCAACAGAGACAGAGAGTACAAGAATACTACCCAGAAATAACAGAGAGAAAGATTACAACATTGAACCGGAAAATTCAATAAAGTGAATCAACAGCAGGCTGGGTAAAGTACAAGAAACAATGGTTGAAGTTGAAGATATGTCATTGGGAATTGTTCCACCGAAAGTGAAAATACACAAAAGAGTGAGAGGGAAAGACATATAAGAAACTCCTTGGACACGATTAAGTGGACCAGCATGGTGAAGCTTCAGAAGACTGAAGGGGCTCTGAAATGCTTACATGTGGAGAAAAAGATGTAAAAGACAGTCCCGGGAAGCCAAAAAGATGCCCCAGCCTCTCAAAAGACAAAGAAATTCACACACACACACACACACACACACCAAAAAAAAAAAAAACAAAACAAAACAAAAAAATCACATCAAAAGTTATCTATCAAAAGTAAAAGGACAAAGAGATCTTTGAAAGCAGCAAAAACCAAATTGACTTGAGTACACTCCTGTCCAAATCTTGCATCCTATGGCAGGATAATAGATGCAATGACCCTGGACCTTGGCAGTCTGAATGATGGCACAGGTACGTGGCCAAGGGGTGAAGTAGCCAAGATTCAATGCCTCCTACTTTTCAAGCTGAATCTGAAAAAGAACAGTCTGTTTTTGAAAATGCAGCCTTAAACCATCTGGCCCACAGGCCTCTAATGCCAGGAACTTTTAAGACTAAAGCAGGAAAACTACGGGGTCAAGGGTAGCCTGTAGAGAGAGTTCACGCAGGACAGCCGGGGCTACTCGGTGGAGATCTGTGTCAAAAGGAAAAAAGAAAAAGAAAACTAGAGGTTTCTTGCATCCCATGGGAAAGTACTTGCCCAGCGTCTGCAGGGCACTGGGGTGCAGGAAGACAGTAAATGAGAGGAGTGTCAAGTCCATATGAATGTAGACGGGAAAAGGGCAGGAAGTTCAGGTCAGCTCAGTTCCAACACTCACACACAGGGAATGGGGGTGAGGGCATTACACTTTCTGTCAGAGTGGCTGGAACCCAGGAATGTCCACCAGATTTGAGAAGTGCATACCGAATGTATTTTGATTTGAGCAGTTACTCAAATAACACTGGCTTATAATTTGAGTGTTCTGAATGAGTAGAGACCATGCCCATGAAAGACAAGATCACTGCACTTACCAAACAGTCTATAAGAGAGTCAGCATCACCATGCAATAATAAAAAAAAAAAGTCACTGGTTGGGTATGTGAGACTGTGAGGATTATAACCTGAGGCATGAAAACCACAAAGAAGTGGGACCGCTGCAAAGAAAAGCTGAGAAGAGGGGACTGTCAACAATGATATGATGATGCACACATTCTAGACTGTTCCACGTCTTCAGACATTACCGCTTTACTCCGTCTACGACGGATGCTCACCGTTCCAGTTCTCATGTGGACCATGCGTTGAGAATAAAAGACCCCCAGAACCTCGAGATAAACTGCATCTCACCACGTGCGGTCACGGACTGAGCCTGTTCTGAATGCATGTGAAGTTGACCCCAAAGCACACCCACAGCTCTGAGGTGTAAAAGTAACTTACAGCTGCCAAATTTCAGGGGGCAAGCGTGGGCATCCATGGGGAAGTCCTCAAGCTGCATGGGGCACTCAGCAGAGATCGTCAGGCTGGAAAGAAAAAAAGAGATGGATCAACAGCCCAGCTCTGCCTCTCATAAGTCCACTTGGATTAAAATTCTAATTAATATGTTTATGAAATTGTCTTACGGTACCCACGGAACTCCATGTTTGTGCTCTAAGTAAGCATCATTGGGAGTGAAGGGGCGGGTCCAGAGCACTCAGGAACCCTATGGCCTGATTATGTGCCTACACACATCATTGCTCATAAAGCTGACCATAGTGCTTTTTTAATGGTTTCCCTCTTCCTACCCCTTATTGTCATCTAACAGGCTTCGACAAGGCTACAGATACACTTATTTTCTCAAATAATTTACACATTCAAAGACTACAAATATAAGGTAAATACATACACAATCAGCTCTTTACCAGAACCTGTTTGTTTCATTACTCAACGGGCCACAAAGGAACTTGTATTGCAATAGCAACTTTCTCGCACAACCTGGCCATTGCCATTTTAATTCAAATCTAGCCTTCCACCTAAGAATGCCACTGACCACAATGCCGAGGGCTGTTCATGCCATGGCAGGCATGGTGGGAGTGTTCTGGCCACGTTATCATCACCACAGTAGCCTACAGAGATCACCATGGCTACCCCAGGGGATCACAGATGGAGTGAGGTGCATAATGTAGAGCTACTCAGTGGCAGAGTCATGAGTGGAGTGCAACCTGCCTACAGAGAGGCTCTTCTAGCCTCTAGCTCCTAGCCTATGACTGTAGGCTCTGCTCTGTAAGATGGTGTAGGTACAGTATGGCACAGTGTGTGGATGCTGAGGCCCAGAGAGGGTGGAGTGAGCTCCCCAGAGGTTTATATGGTAGAAATCCTAAGTGTCTTAGTGAGACCCAGTGGATAAGATTAGGTCACACAGGGGACTGCTTTAAGAAGGATTGATTTAATTCTTGAATGACTGGGTTCCTATCGAGTGCCAAGCCAGCCTCCCATTTCCTTTGGTTTCCCACCCCACCTTGGGTTTCTTCCACACATGCTTCTGCCATTGTTATATCGTCACCACAGAGACCTCACTAGAGAGTTGAGGGTTTTTCAGCTTCCACAGCAAGAGCTAACTACTTTTCTTTGTCTATGACCTGGCATTGGGCATTTTGTTATACAACGAAAACAAAAATACTCATGCTTTTATGCCTCTACAGAGTTTTTACTAAAAACCCAAAATTTTAGCAAAATTCTAAATTGTACTAATGAGCTTATGTTCTGTTTCTTGTGCTCTTTTCCATTATTTAAAATTAAATTAATTACATAAAATGTGAAACATTGGACTTCTGATGCATACTCTAATAATTCTAATGCTAGCACAGAAAACAAATAACTTCTTGCGGTACTTTGCTTGTTCAATTAAGTAGAGATGCTGTCCGTGCTCACAGGATGCAAATGAAATGCAAAAGACATTCTTTTTTTTTTTTTTTTTTTGCCTTTATCACTTCCTTTTGTTAAAACAGATTAGTTTGGTGTTTTAAATTGGTAACATCAATCACCGGTGGCCACTGAAGCCTGAAGAGCCAATCTAGCCATTCACTGAGCAAGCAGGGTGATAGCGGATGCCCGTCAGAAGAGAAAATTCTTTGGCGCCGTTCTGCAGGATAATTCCAGGGAAAGAGTCAGTCACCAAGGGCCATGAGTACAGGGTGGCCGGATATGCCGCCAGTTCTCATTCCCAGGTTCAGATGGAGAGATGACTTAGAAGATGACCCTCTGCACACGGTCATAGAGCAGGGGATACCCATAAAGCCACAGACTTCACTTAATGTTTCAGCTGGTATATGTCTTGGTACAAACCGCATCTTTCGACACATTCGAGCAGAACCATCGCCCACATCACCAATCCCTCTCACAGTCCTGATTTTGAGAGACTCATTTTAAAACTCTAATGTGTATGGAGCGCATGCCTGTCAGCATAGCTCATAACCAACGGACTGTCCTTAAACCTTTTTAAAACTTATTTTTACAGGATTGCTAACTGAAAGGAAAGTTTTCGGCTGCAAACTATGAAAGGGGGCTAATGTCCAGGCCTGTGGAATGGTGCTATAAACAGAGATGAACCTGCCAGAAATTAGGGAGATAAGGACTTAAAAAGCACAGCCACTGAGAGCAGTATCAAGCGATCATAAAGCTACTGTACATGATGGTTACATAATTTAGGAGATGTATTACAGAAAGCAATAATGAAAAGACAGACTCAGTAGTAGAACTAGAAGCCACATGGCACAGGAAGAACACCAAAGACCATGCAATAGCGATCACAGGACAGGAGAGGACCGTGGGAGTCGTGTGTCTCTGTGGCTTCTGCTATGCCAGGAACACTGGGGTTCCATCACTGGGAACTGCGTGAGGAGAGAGAGAGGTTCAGGTGAGCCAGTTACAGTTCAAAAGACTTCAATTAGCATACCCAGATCTCTATCACCCCTTAATAACGTGAACAATATGACTGATATCTTCATGGCCCCCTTTTCCTTTCCAAGGGGGTAGCTAAGATAATAACGGATTCTCTCTTTGGTCATTTCCTTGTCAGCCAGCTCTCTGAACTGGTTCCTCCTCCAGCAAACACTCGGTTTCCCAGTGTTGTGCATGCTGCCTGGAAGCGGAGTCCACAGCCTGGTTTAGATGTGGCAAATATTACAGGCCCATTTCCCATCCCTCTGTGCTGGTCTGGCTTTGTTCATATGACCATTGTGGGTCTAGAACATAGAATTTCTGCAGTGTGTCTCCAGTTTCAAAAGAGACGCCACAGAAACAAGACTCCCACCTTGGGTACTCTGTCTATCCCCGGTGTATTTCTTCTCTGCTGCTGGCCAAGATCAGGGCCATAAAGGTGGACCAGACTGCTTCGGCTGCCTTTGTGGGGTTCACTGAAGGTGCTTGCTCCCAAGAACTGCCTGGCTGCAGAGATCACCGCACTAGCACAGTTTAAAGTACTATTCTGGCAAGAGATGCTCAACCGGAACCTTCTTGTAGTATGTTGGGAGAGTGGAGATGTCCCATCTACACTGTAGGGGCCAGAAGATACGAAAAATGCGTGCAGAGCCCAGCAGACAGGGCTTCATTAGGTATGTTTTAAAGACTCTGTATAAACAGTTCCATCAAACCTATATGCAACAGTGGCTTGTATAATACAACCAGCATCTGTCTAAGATGCTGGTATGAGTCTATCATACCTTATTTGTATAAAGTGCCTTCTAGTCATTCGGAAGGAAGCCTTGGGGCAGCTGCTTTCCCAGTAATGGTTCCCACCTGCTAACAGGCAACAACAGACCGAGAGCAAATACAATACATTTATAAAGCTGTTTTTACACACTGGACAAATAGCTTGGGTTTGTCTATATAGAGGGACTCCTCTGTTCTGAGCTTTTAGACACAGAGAGGACCCTGAAAGGTAACTGACCGCCACATGGAGTTCAGCTCAGACCTTCTTCCAGAAGGCCTGGCTGTCATAGACCAAAGGAGCCAGGTAAATGAGCTATACAAAGCCATAATGATTTTAGCTACAGTTAATGAAGCTCAAAGCGTTCAGAACCCTGCCTTTGGCCAAAATTCTCTGAATTATTGAAAGATACAGGCACAGGGTGTTTGTTTTCCAGAAATCCAATTTCTGTTTTATTTATAAATTCTGCTAACGCGATGCAAGCATTAACAAGTGGGACCCGATGCCTGACAACTGAATCTTAATAGGAGGGAAAGAGAACTTTGCAGGTAAAGATCGTTGTTCCCAATTGGTTTTATGTTTCAACTGAGAGCTTGGGACCCCACATTCACTAGCTTGGGTTCCTGTTTGGCCAGAGAGTCACTCACATGTACAAGGTGCTTTAGTCTAAACAACCAGATCCCAGAGTAGCATCATCATTCGCTGAGTGACATTTATAAAAACGCCTAACTTCTTTAGTCCAGTCTTCCCATCTGGAAAAGAAACAACCGTTGATTTTATGCTCTGAGAAAGCATGGGAATAAAACGAAGGGTTAACCGAGGTAGGAACTTCAATGACAGCAAGGTGACTACAGACTGAAGACTTTCTGGTTTCCATGGAAATACTGCAGCAGAAGATGTGCTGCAAAGAGGCAGACAGCACTGCAAACATCAAGAAGATGCACAGCTCTCCCAGACTGAGGACTACCTACTGCATAGGGCAAAAGCCTGGATGCGGATGTAATTAATTATAGTTCTCAGCGTGGGGAGATTGCCCTAGGCTGTCCAAGTAGATGGGTCTAATTCCACCGGTCCTTTCAGGAGGATGTGGAAGCGTGAGAGTCTCAAGGGAGATGCTGGGACCGAAGCAGATGTTGAGGATAAGGCCCAGAGCTCAGGGATGCAGGCAGCTTCCAGGAACTGGATGAGACAAGAGTCTCCCCTGGAACTGCCAGAACCAATGAAAGCAGCCAGCACCTTGATTTTAGCCCCGTGAGACTTTTGTGACTCCAGACTCCAGAACTGTATGAGTCGATAGAATTTGTTGTGGTCTAAGCACACACATTTGTGATGATTTGTGGCAGTACCAGTGGGAAACAGAAATGTGGTACCCAGACAAGACGTGGTACTGTAACAAAGTTCTGAAAATATGAAAATGGCTTTGGTGATGGGCTGACAGGGAAAGACTAGGTTTTCGGAGATGGGTAGACTGTGAGTAGCTAATGGCTCTGCAGTGGTGCTGTGGTGGATGAGAATGCCCCCTTCAGTTCCTGTTTGAATACTTGGTTCCTAGTTGCTGAAACTGTTGGAGGACTCGAGAGTATGGTCTTGCTGGAGGACTAGGGTCACTGGGGGTGGGCATGATTCCCAGTTAGCTGTCTCTGTCTCCTGTTAGTGAATCTGTTGTAAGTTCTCAGCTTCTGATCCAGAACCACGCCTGCCTCCCTGATGCCAGGATGTTCCCGGACTCACACTTTGAAGCTGTAAGCCCCAAGTAAACTTTTCTATGTTGCCTTGGCCATATAATTAAGACGTAACTGAGACAAGCGGTGAGAAGCAGGTGGAGAACTGTCCGTG